TCTGTGCTGGCATTTGCCTCCCAGCCCACCCCCAAACACACACATCCATAATTCTGGAGAAAAATGAAGCTGGGAGGAATTTATGGAGTACATAGCTCTGTGAGCTTGGCCACAAAGAGCTTAATAGGCTTTCTCTGTAAGAGCTGGGAACTGGCCATGCCCATATCCGCTTGTTCTGTACCCCAGTATTCCCTGGAGCCAGAGATGGCAAAAAAAATGACAAAGCATCGGGTGGCACTAGCAATTAAAAGAAGAGCTCAAAAGGAAATGAACACTACCCCAACACTTGAATTAGGGGAGCAATGTATGAGACAAATCGATGTCCATTGTGCACTATTGCCTGCCCTTTGGGTAGTCAGGAGGCTACCTCTGAACCCCTAGAATAACCAGTAAATTGCAAAGGAGGCATGGGGGAGATTGTGAGGTCGAGACGTCATGCAGCATAGGTCACATTTGCTATGTTTGTTTGCACCTAGGGCACAGAGCTCTGTTTTCAGGAAGGAGAATCAATGGGCTAATAACTCTAAACCTTGATTCCCTTAGGTAGTTTGCAAATCCCCTATGGGTCAGTCAAATTTCTAGCTTCTTGTAATTGTGAACATTCCTGATTTGGAAAAATCAAATAAGCTTCATAGTTGAACAGCTCAGTCATACACGTTGGAACTTTAAAAGCAAACAACAAAAAGGGGTACACAGGTTTCAAATTGCTTGTAAAAAATAATCAACATAAGGGAATGGGAGTTAGAATAAACAAAGCAACAGTATTTTTAATGCCTGACAATTCCACTTGATAGTAAAAGATTCTAGTGCGGCCTCTACATCTGTCACTGGTTTATCTGCAGACACCTGAAACTGTGCAGATGTCTGTGGCAGAGAAAGCAATGGAATGGGGCTAGAACCCAGGTCAGGCTTTTCACAGAGATGCCTGTTGGCACCTCAGCATTTTTTGCAGAAAGTACAGATCTTAGTTCGATCTTTTTGAGTGAGAATTAGAATATTGTTTCCCTTCCACGATTCACAGATACTATCCAAACACCCTGGATTTGGTATAATCTTATTGTGGATTTCAGATATCCCGCAGTAGTTTTCTGAATCCAAGGCTTTTATATATATATACACACACACACATACACACACGCACACAGTATATATACTATATATATATATATATATATATATATACACACACACACACACACCAAATCAAATCTGTATATATATATATACACACACACATAGAGAGAGAGAGAGAGATCAGCTACCATCTTTAAGGGAAATTCTTAGGACCTGCCTGTAATGTGTCTCTATGATACATTTTTATTCCTTGCATACTTGATTTACATTTTTCTAGAAAACACCAGCAGTGTCTGAGATTTCATATTTGTTATTAGCAAAGTTTGTTTTTAAGATACAGCTGTGTTAGTCTTTACATAAAATATTTGGGGGTAAAAATGTGCCTCATGGCTGCAGCTAAACTGAGAGGGAGTAATTAACCCCAAGGGTTTTCTTGAAGCAACCTGCAGATTGCAGCTGAATTGCAAACCAACCTTTACAAATAATTACAATATTGGTTTTGCTGAAATTACCTGTAATGATTTCAATCAGAGCAGCCATTTCAGACACAGTGCGCCTTGGGACCCTCTAAATAATCTGCTCTCCTAAAAGGGTCGATAAAGCGACGGCCCCCTAAATGCCCACCCATTTCTTCAGCATCAGCTCCTGTCTTGTCAGGTATGGCTGGAAGATTCTTTGCACAAATAGCTTCTTCACCCATTTTAAGCTTTAAAAAAAATTGGCCAATAGTAAACATTTGAAAGCGAATAAGACAATTGATTAAACAAACAGTACTTTTCCCACACCTTTATGTATTTACAGCAAGTAATATATTATAGATGGCCCCGAAATGGGTCAGAATGTCTGTGTTGGCTGACCTCGGCCTTTCAATGGAAATACACTCTTAGAAAGAGTTATGTTCTGTACAAGGACCCTACCATTTTTTTGTTGTTGTTTTTTAAAGAATTGATCATTAGGATGTTTCCACTTAGCAAACATTCATCTTCGTCTTCGAAACTTCAATACCTAATAGACAACCCAAACCCTAGTAGGTATTCAATATCTATTTTTTAAATACCTCAGACGTAAGACAGTCTAAATGTTACACCTGAGTATTATATGATGTAAAATGTTCGAAATTCCATGAGAAAATGATACATATCAGAGTAACATGGCAGTCAGTCAGATAAAGTGGTAGTAAATTATAGTGTTCTAACTTTGGTGAATGTTAGAACTATGTTCTGACGGTGGTGCAGTCCAATTACAGTTTTCTCAGGAAAAAACCCACAGGTAGGAGAGGAACTTCATCAGGGCTGTGGTTTCTGCAGGGCTCTACTGGAGGGATTTTTGTCCTCAGGTCTTTGAAAAGACTTGGCATCTCTTTTCAAAGATAGGACTTGTTTGAGATGATTTTTTAAAAAACTGTAAAACTGGCTGAACATCCTATATTTTGTGTTTCTTTGAATTACCATGAAAATAATCAAGATCTTAATGGTGCATCCTAGCACCACGGTTGTCCTGTGTTCTGGTGCTGCCACGTACTAAGGAGCCCTGGAGCACATCTGTTCCTACAGTAACATCTGGTTCAGCCCTGAGAGTTAGCAAACATGGAGGCTGAGCCTGTGGCCCAGGCAAAGCTACAGATCCACAGGTCCTCCTTAGCATTCAGTTTTATAGGGATTGTCACAAATGTCAAGAGGGTCTTCTCCATAGGGACTCCCCCCAGAGCAGAGTTCAGTGTTTGGCGGTTATTGATTCAGCTTTGGAATCCCACGCTGCTCAAATCTGGAGGACGCCTAAGGAGGGTACAGAGAGCAGCCCCAGCAGATCCATCTCTATTCCTTGCCAGGAGGCCTTGGGAAAGACTGGCTTCTTGCTGCACGGGTGTGTTAGAAGGACTGCTGGCACCCCTGATGAAAATTCCCTCCTTCTTAAGGCAAACAGACTATTCCCCACAGAGTCAGCTTTGTGATTCTGAACACGGAGCATTACAGTGATGTTCATATCCATCTCCATTCAGTCGCGGGTCACCAGGCATCCTGGCTGGCCTGGGACCAAGGGATTTCCCAGAATGCACTAGTTGCAGGGCTAACTCCTGGAAAGTTCCAGGCTAATCAGGATGCGTTTGGTCGCCCTAAGTTAGTCAGAAAATAGAATTTAAATTTCTGCATCTCCTACCTCATTTGTTCAACATGAGCGAATCTGCAGAGATCTCCTGTGCTATTCTCAAATAGAAACTCCACTTTGAGTTTCTTTTTAGCAGGGATATTGATCACAATAAAGACACAAAAATAAAAGGCATAACTGAATAATTGTCTAAACCTTAGAACAATTCAAGTTCTTTTCCAAAAGAATTGTAAAAGCATGTGTACCTGACATTCTCTAAAAGAAATTTCTAAATATTTTCCACTAAATAGTTGAGACCAGTGGCTAGATAGTGGTTTAGAAACAGGACAAGTCTTTGCCTGCAACCCATTCATCTTTTATTCTTATTTTTCTTTTTCCTTGATTACTGTTGAAGAATATAAATAAGAAGCACAATTTTTCCTAAATACTTTATCTCTCAGACATTGTAGTTATGCCTTCCCCCTGCTGCAATGTTTATGTGTCCCGATTACAGTTACTTCTCTAACCTAAATGTGTAGCCAGATCACCCTGCATTTCTAACAAGTCCCCAGTGTTGTGTGTGCTGCAGGCTCAGGCTGAGTAGAGGGTTCTCCATTCACTTTCTCTTTCTGGTTCCTCCCTGCCACAAAGGGAGGAGCAGGTCGCTTCTACAATACAGGTTGTAGGTTCCCACAATACAGGTTTCCCCCACTATTCAAAAGTAGAACATTCCTATTTGATATGGTTTGGTAGGTTATCTTTGAATTCGGGAACTTTATTACCATTATTAATTGATATAAAAAATTTTTGAGGGGTTCCCAGACCTCCCAAAAAATACCAAATCATCTAGCTAAATGAGGAGGGTGGACTAGGCTGGCTGGGTGGTTAGAACCAAAACCTGGTGACAAGCCTTTCCTAGCTCTGCCATAGCATATGTGGTTCTGTCTTCCAGATACAAGCCAGGGTGACCCACCCAAAGGGTAACTGTTTCATAGACTCCCCAGATATTCTGTCTGAGGTCAAGAAATAGATACAGAGATGGTTCCCAGAGGAAGTGCAAGATCCCCAAGTGTGTTACATCTTCATTGTAACTCTTCCTATCAGGTGTTCGCTCACCTCATTGCTTTCAGCATATACTAATGAAATAGTTTCTCTTGAAGTAAATTAAGAAAAAGACTACTGAGTGTCACTTTCCTGCCAGGAGCCAGGGACAGTCAAGCAGGCAGTTGAGCCCTAAATGCAGGATACTTAGAGGAAAATTGCTTATATTTAATCACAATTGGAAACGTGCTTCTTAAATGAATTTAAGTAATAACCTTTAAATCATGAAAAGCTGGTCACAAGAATGCAGCATCATTCCACCCCCTTTAGGGATCAGACCCCTGGGACAAATCATACAGGGAAGAAACTGCTGCTTTGAAATTGTATGTCATGGGTGTAAGTTTTCTCCTTAAATGTTTACATTTTCCCATATTTCAAACTGCTCCTCAAAATGCATCGATTTCATAAAAGTTAACTCTGTAGATGTAAGAGTAGCTAGAAGAAAGGGCAGATGTTGCGGAGAGCTGGGGGGAGGGGAGGAACTTATTTCTAAAATAGTTAAAAAGACCATGCTGTAATAGGAAGCATATTTCCCAGAACATTCCCCCAAAGCACTGCCAGTTTGGGCTAAGTCTAAGACATCTAACTGGAATTCAGAGTTTTCTGGTTTTTGCTTTTTGACCATTTGAATTTCTGAGAAAACAAGAGTCCAATCCCACCCCAGCACTGTCTCCCATTCCGATGGACTGGATCTTGGTTTTGCGGACAAAAACGTCATGTAAATTAACTGACTGTTTCAGGGGAACCCAGCGCACCTAAGCTCGAAGGACAGATGGGAGAGGATGGAAACTCGATAAAGGTGAACTTGATCAAGCAGGATGATGGTGGCTCCCCCATCAGACACTACCTGGTCAAGTACAGAGCGGTGAGTAGTTTTCACCCCCGCTGACACCCACTTTGTTGCAACATGTGAAGCCTGCCAGGGAGGACAGAGTCTGATTGCTCTCTGTCTTTTGGGGACTCATGGGATCTAGTCAGGGTTTTCAGGCCCAAAGGGGCCACTGTGGCTGTGACAGGCAAGTCTGCGTCCAAAAGAAATGGAGCAAAACTCTGAGTTGTGTTCGATTTCAATAACCTGAACCTTCCTCTCCCTTCCACTTCACAAGCTTTGCTAAATATTATTAGCATATATTAAATAACGTAATGTTTGCTTTAGTAAATATTTGCTTATATTCTGGTTGTCTCTTTCATAATGATGTTTGCCATGGAAACAAGCCTATCAGTGAAAAAGTTGGCTGGATTTCTTAGTTTTCAGTCAAAACAGGCCACAGAATGGCCCAGTCCAGCCAGTTTCCTGGACAGACTCTAAGGAAATCAGCATTGCCCTTCCCTGGATGTCCCCAAGACAGTCACAGTCCAGGACACGAGCACTGTCACCTTCCCAAAGGCATGTCTTTGCCTGACACAGGTCATTGTATCTGGCTGTGCTATAAGCTCACAACCTCCAGCCTCAGCCACAGGTTAACCCCCTTCCAGGTGACATTGCTGGCGTGTTCTGCATTCAGAGATGCAGTTCAACCTTCAGTAAACATTTGTCAAGGCTTCCTGTGTATCCTACATATATCATTTATGAATAGGTCAGACAGAGAGAAGGAAGGGTGGAATCATGAAACTAGGTGACAACTTAGGGCCTCCCTGGTGGCGCAGGGGGTTAAGAAACAACCTGTAAAGCTATCAGCAGCCACTGTAGCACGAGTTTGATTCTCAGCCAGCCAGGAAGCTACGCACATGGCTCGGCAGACCTCTCCTGTCTCACCTGCTGCTCCCCTCAGCAGTGTATTTCAGTCGATCTGCCTCTTCTGTTCCCCACTCTGTCTTTAGTGAATCCTCTCATCCCCCACGCACCTCTGGCCTGTACCCCAGCTCTTGTATGCATAAATAAATAAATCTTTTTTAAAAATATTATTAAAAACAATTAGGTGACAACTTCTCAGGAAGTTTTTAACCTCCTTCCACAAATGTATGTTAAGGAAGTGGTCATCTAACTGTGGCTTTCTAAACTCCCTCCCAGAACGAACTGCTGTGCTAATGTTTAGGATAGAATTAGAAAGAATTTTCGATGCCCAGGCAGTGCTTTGCTGAGAAACATGCTCCTGGACATCCTGAGCACCCCACAAGACACCACACATTGGCCCTCACAACAGAACTTATGCCTGAGATCCCTGCACTACCACTGTAGAGACCAGGTTACATGGCATGGAATAGAAGGTGCAATTCAGCTCCACAGATATTTGTTAAGCTCCCTGCAATGAAAAGGGACAATCACAGCTCTGGGTCCAGAAGCACTTGGCCTTAAGTGCAACTTCCAGTGTAGCTTTGGGAAGTCACTCCAACTCTCCTTCACTTCCCTATCCCCAGGTTTCGTACAGAACTGACAAACACACACACACACACAGGCATATTGGAGGGATACAATGAGAAAACGAGTGGAAAGCCTTTACACCTTGCAGGTGCTCCATAAATGATAGTTTTCACCTTTAATAGAATTCTGCAGTGTTGTGTCGGGGAGATGAATTGCACACCTGAATGTGAGTGACATTCTGAGACAGGACAAGAAACAAGGTTGCATATGTGTCTGCATATCAGAGTGAGTCCCGCATGCCCCCGAGGCAATGGGACATTGCAGGGCTGGACCCGTGCCACATTGGCAACTGTTTGTATTGAGATACCTCAGTGTTTGACCTCCTGACCTGTGTGATCCTTAAGGTTTATCAGGCCGGTCAAGACCAAGTCCTATCATTGGTTTGCATTTTCATTCACCATAGTTATTGCCTTCCCTCCGTTCTTCCTGCCCGCTGGCCTTACCAGTGTTTTCCTCTAAAGTTTTCTGGTGTTTCCTCTCCTGCTTGCTGGTTTCTCCCAGAAACTCTCCTCTGATTGGAAACCAGAGATCAGGCTCCCGTCTGGCAGTGACCACGTCATGCTCAAGTCCCTGGACTGGAATGCCGAATATGAGGTCTTCGTGGTGGCTGAAAACCAGCAGGGGAAGTCCAAGGCGGCTCATTTTGTGTTCAGGACCTCAGCCCAGCCCACAGCCATCCCAGGTATGACTGCCTCTGCTTTCTGTGAGTTACCTGCTTTGAATTAATGCAAAGTGCTGCACCTCCTAATGTGCCTGAACCACCCTTGACAACTTGCTTGCTTCCAGCCATCCTCATGATCGGTTGCCCATGCAAAGCTTCGTTTTGCTTTGTACCTATCTGTGTGGTGGGTTGAGATGTACCAGACCCCCAGGAAGGCTTGGCCATGCATCCTGGGGCAGAGGTCCCATGTCATACGACCTTAAGGACTGATGCTAAATCAGTTCAGACCCATCCATTGGGAAAAGCCCCAGCTCCAGTCATGCCTTGGAAGCTGGTTGAGTAAGGATCCTTTCTGAGACCTTATCTGCCATCTGCCATTTTGCACCAGGACCATGTAAATGTTCTGAAGCGCTTTTTATTGATGCTTGCTTACCTGCACAACCATGGTCCAATTCTCTTCTCTGTGGGAACCCCAAGAGAAGGAAGAGATGGTTCCCAGTTAGTTAAAAAGCCTGCCTGCCAGGGGCCTCTCAAGTGAAACAAAGATTAAATGGAACCACTTGAAACAAAACAAGTGGGGAAAATGGTGACTGGACAACACCATCAATGGAAGGCAATCTGGTCTGCTAGGGACTGTGATGGGAGGAGGCCTCCTGGGAGATGCAGATCCATCTCTAGGGGTCCTGGACCAAGTCAAGGGTGGGAAAGAAGTGAGGCTGCTGCAGTCGGGCCCAGCTCCCTGTCACAAGTAGCCAGTGTCCTCCTTGGCCCAAGCCCTCAGAGCAGAAAGAGATATCCAACACCACTCTGCTTTTCCAGACCAGCCATGCTGGCCACAGGCAGGAGAGGTGGACATAGGACAGAGAGCAGAGCCTGTGGAGGGACCCCATAAACTCTCTGCCAGGTTCAGATGTGGTAGGAAGATGGTGTGGCTTCTTGGTCTGCTCCCCCCTCGCCTCCCCCACCCCCAAGCCTGCCTGGTTTATTGAGTTCACCTGGGCCCTCGGCTCAGTTGTCACCATTGCTCCTCCCCGAGGGAGAGGCCAGAAAGGATGGGGGCAGCTTCAGACAGAGGGCCGCACGTGCAAAAGTGGGTTAGTGGAACAGCGGCAACAGCAGTGTGCGGTTCTGGATGTCTGGTTGTGTGTGAGTGTGTGCATCCGAGCGACATGGAGTGTTGGCAAGTGGGGTGTCAGCCCTAGGTCAGAAGCATCTATTGGTTCTTCCCTTGAATCATCAGAGAGACCCCTTAGCACCGGCTGCAGTGGATATGTCTCTGCCAGTCCTGGTCACATGGCAGGGATGAAGGCAAGGTGCCTGGTGGAGCTGGGAGAAATGTTCTTGTTTCTGCTTATTAGGATGTCCACTTAGAGGAAGCCCCACCTGCCCTCTGCCGCTTCTTCACTGTGTACTTTGGTCATGTTTTCCTTGAAGTCGAGTTTGGTATGAGCGTCCAGATCTGCTCTGCTTGATGGGACATGTAAGAGCTGGGACTTGAGAAGCTTGGTAACCCTTTGCAGAGAGAGAGAGACAGATTCCTGATGGCATTTGTTTCCTGGGGTGAGATCCCATAGTCAGTCACTTTGGACCTGCTGGATACTGCCAGCAGCATCAGATTTTGGGGTCGGGAAAGTAGGGTCATGCTGTGTCAGATACAGACATTCTGGGACAACCCCATCCTCTGGAGTCCTGCCTGCTGGAGAGGGCAGAGTCCTGAATTTCCCAGTTAATCCAGATAGGGCTTCTCGCCTCACCCACGAGGCCTCTGGGCTTCATTGGACTTTCCTGGTCATTGTGTTGGGACCCGAGAATAAAATCTCTGAATGAGAAGATGGATGTTCCCGGTGGAATCCTGTGGTCAGCAGCGTGGTAGAAGGTGAGGGAGGCAGAACCAGATAGGCCCTTCCAAGAGCTCCCTGGGTGGGGGACCCTGCCGTAGGAAGAAAAGTCTGCTTCCCCACGGAAACGCGTCCCTGCCTCTGCACAGTTTGCCACACGTGGCGCAGCGGTCAAATGCATCTCTACCACACGCCTGGGAGGCTGTAGAGGCTAGAGGCTGCCGGTAGGCTTGTGGACTACTAGGAGGCCTCACCTTAGCAAAGGTAACTCTCCTAATCAAACTCTTGTACCTTACTGTGGAGGCTTCTGTTCCCTCACTTTAATTTCATCTGCTCGCTGACCCCTAACCCCCAAATTAACCCCGCTGTGCTGCTTCTGGCATTGCTGAGCTTCTGAACTGGCCTTGTGGTAATAAAACCGCACTGAACTCTTCTCTAACCGTTGTCAGTTTAATTTACTAAGTTGAATTAACCTTTGATTCTTGCGTTTTCTATATTTGACCTATTTTTTTTCTTTTTATCTATTTTTTTCTCTGTTTCTGTCTCTACCTTCTCTTTCCTTCCCCCTCCCCTTCCTGTGTCTGTCGTCACACATCTCACCTTGGACTTCACTGGGACATCCCCACTGCCACATTTGTTTTCAAACAACCATATTCTCTCTGGGGACCCATTGCTTGGCGCCTGCAGCGACCTTGGGAGGTTCCTCCGCGTCCTACACCTTTGTCTCATTGCTTTTCTCTGTAGTGACTCTTCTTTTGCTCTGTTAGGAACTCGAGCACACACACAAATTAAATTTGCTTAAAAGCCCAGTTCCTATGAGAACGATCAGTGCCCCATTTGGAAGAACCTGTCAGGACCACCACAACCACGGCCACCAAGCACCCTATGTGGAAGAGGAAGCTTTGGCAATTGGAAAAAGCTTGACCTCCAGACATTTCACCACTCATAGATACTTTTGCGCCACTCCACAGGGAGTGCACCCCCTTTTAATGGCAGCACAGAAATATTTGCGATCTCTTTTCTTTAAACACTATATATAAGAAAAGCATTATGCTGAGTTTACCGAGAAGTTGCTGCATATCTGCTGCCTATCACATTTGTTGTTCTTACCTGAAAATGATGTAGCAGAGGAAGATTTCTTGCATCAGATTGTTAAAATCATCACATGCCCCCACCCCATTCTAACTCCATGCTCCTCCTCTGCCCGTCAATAAGTAGTTGGCTTTGCTTGCATTTAAGTGCCCGTGGTAAGGGGGCAGATCCCTGAGATTCGCCTGAGCATTTTGCTGACTTGATGGGCAAATTAAGTCACCCTATTGCCTGTGCAGTGGAAGAAATTGAATTTGTTGGGTATTTTCTGGGGCTCTTCAAATGTTCTGGGAGGCACACCAGCCCTGATAACATAACCAGCTCCTCATGCTGGCTCTGGGAGCAGGGCCCCCCTGTGATGTGCCCAACACCTGCTGGCTTGGTAAGGTGCACGTCTCCCAGTGGGGTGCTACCTGTGCAAGGCAGACAGCACAGAACCTCATGATTTGGGGGTTGTCCAAAGTGACCCCCCCCCCTTATAGCATAAACATCAGTGCCCCAGGCTGGAACCATCCACTGTGAGCCAAACGCTAGTCCCTCACCCTCCCCATATGCACTCAGCAGAGTGGAAGGGGAGGGACAGGCCATTCGCAGACGGCTGAGCCCACAGTGTCCATCACTTAGGACTCACTCAACCTGTCAGTATTTCCCAATACCCCAGCCCCCCAATTGGCCAGTGGCATTGCTTTAGTAAGAGTTTTAAAACTCTGATGAAAGCCAGCTGCTTGCCTCCCACATACCCAGGAGAGGAAGTGGGGCGTGCTTGATAAAGTTGCCCACGGAGACCCCGGGGTGAAGCCTGCCAGCCACATCAGTATGTGAGCCTGGGGATGGACCGTCTACTGAATAAAAGCTCCCTCCCTCATTGTGGTCACATATCATTCTGCATATCTCATCTCTGAGCATCTCCACGGAAGTTTGATTTTTGTTCTTTTGGTTTCTTTACTTTTTAGTTCTGTTGTTATTTGTTAATGTTCAAAGCCTAGCCTTTCCCTTTGGCAACCCAAAGGGTTCTGAGCTGTGGTCTGCAGGGTGCTGCCTGTGTCAGGGGGCACAGGCTGGGAGCCCCAGAGCTCATAGTTTAGAGGTTCCCATGCAGACCCCAGGGTAGTGTCTCCCACCCCAGACTTTTAGCCCCACCGTGAACCTCTCTCCCTGGGGTCCCTGACTCCTGTCACACCAGCAGAAGCAGGCATGACCCTAAGACAGAGAGGTAAGGAGAAGGAGCAGGATCCCTGGTCAGTTTGAGAGAGCTGTGGGGACCATAAAAGAGGGAGAGATGAGTCCTCGTGCAGGTGACCCGTCGCTGTCCACCTGGCTCCCGACATGCTCATGGTGGTCATCTCAGGCAGAAGACACGTTTTCACCCAGGAAAGCCCCCTCAGTGGTTGTGCCCACTCTGGCCTCAGACCCCTGCATAGGTGAGGGGTACCATCAGTGTTTCTGAAGGGACTCCAGAGAAGTGGCCTAAAGTATGCGGATCCCTGACGCAGCTCCGTCCCCTCAGCACACCCTGGGCGGGGCAGCCTCAGCATGGCAGTGGCAGGCCTGTGTAAGGAGACACCACGGGAGGCAGCAGGAGGGCACACCCACTTACTCCCATGGACACAGCAGTTCTCCATAAAGGCTCCAGCCACAGCCCCACCAGGAGTCCCTCAGAAGGTGGGCCTGGCAGCCCCCCGTGGGAGCAAGCGCTCCCCGCCTAGCTCAGCCACCCCTGCCGCTGCACCCTGTATCAGCCCCAGCCCCCTCCATGTGCCACGGGGGTGTCTCTGCTCATTTTTGGAATATTTATACGGCAGGTTTGGATCACGTTTTTCTACTAATAAGAATGCTAACTTTGTTGTGTAGATAATCAGCGAGGCCTTTATGAAGTTTACACCTTTGCATTATTAAAGGAAATAACAGTTCATGTGAACTCACCGGCGTGTTCTCATTTTCTTTGATAGTTGTGTGTCCTACAAAGTATCAGAAGTCCTTTCCCTCCACCTCACATGTACCAGGATGACTTTGATCACCCCAGAGAGCCATTTCAATAGTGCCCCAAACTTGTAGCTTGCTGAGTGGCATTTTAGGCAAAGGAAATGCTTTTTCTTCCCTAATGAGGAACAAGGGTTTTCTCGTGTCTCCTAAGAGCTGCTGTGGGTCGTTGCCGCCTTGGGCTTCCCTGGTCCCCAGCCAGCCAGGAGAGGGCAAAGTGCTTTTTCAGGACTAGAGAGGTGGTCATCTTGGGGACAGGAGCCGCAGGATACCCTGGTCTGTAGTAAGATCTCTGCATTTCTCAGCTCCCCCTTAAAACTCCATAGCCACGGCCATACATAGTGACCCTGGGGTGGGGAGAATCTGAGAGAAGTTTCTCTTTGGTGAACTGGATTCTGTTTATAATCTCACTTTATTTGGACACTTCCTGAAATCCCTCAAGGTCAGTCATCTGTTTAACAGATTCTGGGGAGAAGAGCGCAAACGTGGAAGGGGTTTATGTGAACCAGAGCTCAGCTCAACAGATCTGCCACCTGAGGTCCGGTGGCACAGAGACCTCACTGGGCGTCTGTAAGATGTGAGACCCATAGTCCCACTTTAAAGCATTCAAGAAACCAGGTAGATACAGACCTGAGTCTTGGGGCAAGCCAGCTCCTTGTCTAGTGCCAGTCTCTCCCATAGCAGGAGCCACAGCATGTGGGCAGCCCCAGCCTTGGGGCCTCACTACACAGGACAGCGCTGACCCTGCGGTTAGAGAGGAACTGCTCCCTGAAAGCATTCTTTGCATGCAGGGTGTGCAGGTGAGTTAGTCAAGGGAGGTCCAGGAGAAAATGGTGCAGATAGACCCCAGGTGTTTTCTTTTTTCTTTCGTAAGATGTTACATTAGGTGCAGAGAAAACCTCTGTCCCTCTGGCTTCTCTGGACAAAACAATTCTATAACATCCACCAAGAAGTAATGTGTGTTGGCTTGACTTGACTCCTTTTATCTGTGTTCCAGCATTTCCCTTGTTTATAGCTTCTTACTGCAAAAGCTACACATTCTCTCTCCAGTCTGTGGAGCCCTCACTTCCCCTAGAAGGCGAGAGTCCTAGTGATGAGCTGGGTGGTCCCCTTCTCCCAGACTCCCAGAGCAATACTTGTGTCTCCATCCGTCCGGTCCATCAGTTAGGTCAAGGCTGTCGAGTGTTAGTCACGGGATCAACTGTTATTCATTGTAATGCAAGACAAGAGACCCAGAAACAGTGGGCCTCAGGTTCCCTGGGACCTTCATTTAAATCCTGACTCCCGATTCACCCCTAGAAACTCTGATTCAGTAGAAGTAAGGAGCCTCTGAATTTGAATTTTTAACAAGACACCCCAAGAATTCTGCTGCAGGTGGAAAAACATTGTGTTTATTTTTCATGTAAAAATAAAGTCACAAGAATTAATGAATAAAAGATAGGGCCTGAGTCTTCCAGGAAAATGTCCTCAGTAGACACTATGGAGGAGCGTGACATTAGGGTGTCTATGCCACTGGCTGGGTGCTGTGCAGTGACAACTCCTAATGGTGCAGGAAACTTGAGGACATCACCCTGTCCCAGGCCCTGCCTGGTATGGGATCCTCTTCCAGAGCATCACAACATCCCCACCAAGGACTTGTCTGGCCCATGCTTGAGGCCTCCAGCAGCAGGGAGTTCACCCACTGGGGTTCTGCACAGCTCTACTCTTAGTCACTACTCATCTGCAGCTGAGCAGCTCCCATGAGCCCCATAGTTTCCATCCACTGGTGCCTCCAAAATAAGGCCACATCTTCCTTGTCATTGCACATCTTTAAACATCTAGAGACCATGTACTCATCTCCAGGCTAAGCACTCATTCATTTGTACAACAACCCCCGTAAGTCAGGTTGTCCTGGATGCTAGGAGACCTAAGGCAGACATGGTATCTTCTAGAACATCCTGGAGAGGGGAGAACTGGTGAGAAAGTATGTAAGTGAACAGAAAGTGTCAGATAGTGGTAAGAGAATAGAACAGCTAATGTAGATAAATTCATAAAGGTCCCTCACCAGATAGGGGAGCTGGGTGGAGGGCAGGGGCTCTCTGCGAAGGTAACATTTGAGCTGAGGTCTGCAGGATAACAGAAAGCCATGAGGTGACATGAGATAACAGGGATGGAATCTTCCAGATGAAGATTAACAAGGCTCTGAGGCAGAAAGTGGCTGAGTATGTGAGCAGGTAGATGGGGCAGGGGAGAATCCGTGCCACAGTTGTGTGGTCAGAAGGGTCCTCAGCATGTGGAGGGTCCTCAGCATGTGAAGGGTCCTCAGATGTGTAGGGGCTGCCACCTGTGGGACCTTGAGCCAGGAGGAAGATCTGATTGTACACAAATGAAAGGGACTGTTTTTTGTTTTATGGCTCAGTCATTTTGCCCCCCTGCTCTCCTCCTGAACTTGACCTTGGCACTGGCCTTCAGCATTAGTGCTGTCCCCCTGCTGGCTCTGTTGGGCCCAGAGCACAATGGGACAGCTCCTGCTATCTCATGCATGCACAGAGCAGCAGTTTATTTTTCTCAGCAGTTTATTTTTCCTCTTTAGAGAGATGACAAGTTCCATAAAACTGTATTTACATATAAACTCAGAATGTAGTGTTGGTGCTTTTAAACCTAACAGTCACCCTCTCCCTACCCCTAAGTCCCCCACAGAACTACTTGAGTCTCCTGGTTGAGTCAGTCAGCACTTACACCCGATGGTGCTGGTGTCAGACACAGGCAGTGGTTTTCAGCCCGGTGCTTGGAATAGAGAGGAAGGCTAAGGCTGAAAGGTCTCCCCCAATCAGGAAAACAACTGTGGGATTCAGAGGACCAGGAAGATTTTCATTTCTCTCTTTGCTTTTTGGAGGGTAAGTGAGGACCCTGGGGAAGTAGAGCGGGTGGGCTCTGTTCTGCTTTAGAAAGCTGCTATGAAAATGACACCCTCTAGCTGACTGCAGAGGCCAGTGGCCAGTTTCCTGCTGCCGAAGCTCAGAGACCACATGGCCAGAGCTGAGTCCTCTGAGCTCAGCTGCCTTTGCTGGTCTCAGTGCTTTCCTGGGGGATGGGCTGATGGTGGAAGGGCCAGGGCAAAGGACATGAAGAGGAAAGGCTGGAAGGCAAGACCAAGGTCCCAAACGGGCCAGACTGTGTTTGCAAGCCAGGAGTCTCCTCCAGCTCAGGCCCCGCTAAGCCCAGGGTGCTAGAAAGTAGGCTGTGGCCGGCTGTCTCTGGTGCACTGGGATTCTGACCCACACCCTGAAATGAAGCTTGAAATGAGCGCCAGAGGAGCAGAACTGCCGCTGACAAAGCCCCGAGCAGGGAGCCCTGCCGCACACACGGGGATCCCCAGGCACACCGACTGCATGAAAAAAGGAAACGTGGGGTTCATCTAGGTACCACTCACCTCAGCTACATGCTGCTGCTTTTGTCCAGCCCAACATGTGGCTCTGGCAGCTGCTGGGCCTCACCTGGGCATCAGCAAACGTCCCAGTGGATCCTGAGGGACCGGAAGCATCAGACAAGTCCCAGTGGGGATGGGACTGACAATTCTGGAACTAAGTCCTTCCAGAAGAAGAAAAATGACTCAGAAAGTGCCAGGATTTCAGTCTGAGGTCGTTGTTTCCACTCTGGCTCATGGGAAGAGCCCACCTGTGTTCTTGCTCCCCGGAGTGTGAGCACTTATCTCCTGAGCGCTGACCTAGCAGTGAGTGGGGTCCACCTCAGGCCACTGACATGAGTCCTGAGGGTGCCCAGAGAGCTGGCCCAGCATCTTTCTGCAATACCATTGATAGCCCAAGCCTAGGTACACTTAGATGGACAGCAAGGGCCTAAGAGGCAGAGGCTGAGTCATCCGAAGGGGCCCCAGCCACACGGGGTGCTGGCACCAGGCGGGTGTGAGAATGGGTCCGTCTGCAGTGGGCATCTGTCCTGAGTGTGAGCGTGCCTGCTGTGTGGTGTGCATCTCTGGGTGAGTCTGCTGCCTTTCCTCCAGTCTGATCCGAGCAAACCTGAGCTCCCAGATGGTGAGTATTCCCAGACTTTCTCCTTGCCCGCCAGGCCTGGGGAGGCCCCAATATCTCCCAATGAATGGGCTTCATCCATCTTCCTGGGGTGCAATGAAAATAAACCTTGAAGCTGATTTGGTCCCATGTTGGGCTTCTCTAGAGCCATTCCTGAAGGGCAGGGGGTCATGGGCCAGACATCCTTTTGTATCTGACATCACCACAACCCCAACGGAAACCCCATCACCCACTTTGGGATCCTGTCCCTGTTGGTTCTTATGAGCCACAGCCCTGCCTGAAATCAGTGACCCCTGCTTGCCTATCTGTTCCCAGGGATCCCAGGAAGACCGAATGTGGGTCTGGGAGAGGATTGGAGGTTAAAAGAAGTGGTGAGGACACTGCTCCCAACCCACATTGTTGTGGGGGCCTCATATTCATGTCCCCCAGTTTGAGATGAGGCTGTCATGCGTCTCTCGCAAAGACACAGAGAGACCCTGTTGTCTCAACATCTGGGCATAAAAGCCCCCCCAGAAGTGCCACTCTGGTCACAAGTGCCATGACTCGTGCTGTGGGGCTGTTGCTCCACTGCACCCCAGGGGCCATTTTTCCACAGGGTCCAGGACTGCATCTCAGTGTGCTAACCTCCAGCCATCTCTCTCTCCCTCCACCCAAGCCAACGGCAGCCCCACTGCAGGCCTGAGCACCGGGGCCATCGTGGGCATCCTCATTGTCATCTTCGTCCTGCTCCTGGTGGTTGTGGACATCACCTGCTACTTCCTGAACAAGTGTGGCCTGCTTATGTGCATCGCTGTAAACCTGTGTGGAAAAGCCGGGCCTGGAGCCAAGGGCAAGGACATGGAGGAGGGCAAAGCTGCCTTCTCGTGAGTGCCAACCTGCCCACTCTGCCAAGGTCTGGGCTCCAGCCCAGCCCAGGGGGCCAGCAACCAAGCCACCTCTGTGTCTCCATTGGGAAACCCCAAGGGAAAAAGGCACTTGAGAAATGTTCCTCAAAGCATGGTCTTTGGGGGGACCTGTTTAAATAACAAACCGTGGGACCAACCCCACATCTCTCCAAAGTTCGAAAATACCTGGGTAGGTCAAAATGAGGGGAATGGTTAGAGCTAAGCCTGGAGGGAACTGCCATGGGGATCAGCATTTGAAGAGCATACTGACCTTGCTTTCAGTCATTCATTCATCCTTTCTTTCATACATCCACAAATACTTATTGAGCAGCTACTATGAGCAATGCACTGTTCCAGACACTGGGGTGCAGCAGTGACCAAAACAGATAAAAATCCCTGTCCTCATGGAGCAGACAGTCTGGATGCTATGCCCTCAGCAACCCCAGAGGAACAGGAGATGGCTCAGGAGATGCTGAGCCAGTTATCAGGAAACTTCTCAGATTCTTACTGGTGAGGCTGAGCTAGAGCAAGGAGATAAGTTGTTTAGCACTGCCACACGTAGGCACTGTGCAGTGCATATATGTGCACGTGTACATGTATGTACACACTTGCACACATATATGCAGATTGTTTGTGCACTTATCTGGGCCGGCACCATGCTTAGTCTTTACATTCATGACCTCATTTCATGTTCATCACAGCTAGGTGAGGCACAGACCATTACAGGCCCATTTTAGCCATGAGGAAGTGGAGGCAAATCAAACATTCAAGGCAACAGAGCTAGCAAGAGGGGTGCTGAGACACAGGCTCTTGGGTCTGGCTCTAGAAGGCCACCCTGCCAGCCTTAGGTCCCCAGAGCTGAAGCTGGCTTCTCTGGGAATGCCCTTCCCCCACCAGCATCCCGTGATCAAACCAGAACTTTTTCCACAGGAAAGATGAGTCCAAGGAGCCCATCGTGGAGGTGAGAACTGAAGAGGAGCGGACCCCAAACCACGATGGCGGGAAACACACAGAGCCCAACGAAACCACACCGCTGACAGAACCCGAGTATGTGGCGGGGAGGGACTGTGTCTCCTCAACAAATCCCCACACCCACCTCATCACCCACCTCCATGCTGCCCACCTGCAACTCCCTGCCTAACATTGCGGGCCGGAATTCTGGAGCTCGTGGCCAGAAGAGGCACTTGGCTGAGAAGTCCCTAGAGAAAGGGCATTCTTGTTCTATCTGGGGTGATTGTGGGTTACCTCCTTGCTTAAGTGGGATCCCTAGTCCCTGTTCCCAAGTTACACTCCCTGGCAATGGCCTAAGGGGACTAAACTCCATTGAGACAAGCCAAGCTTTCAAGCAGATTCTTATTAGGATTTCTAAAACTTCTAGGGTTTTCTGCATTCTTCCCAAGAGGGTGAGGGGACTTGGAGATCTGGTAAATCTCCCTGGCATTGGTGTTCATGGAAGACTTGGGGACCCTCTGTTAGCAGCCATGTGCAGATGTGGTTGTACCGACCAGTGACTGCCATAGCTACTCTGGGTTTGAAGGGGCAGGAGTTACTGGAGAACCCCCAGCTCTTAGGAACCATTCGGCGCACTCATCTGCTTGTTCCTAGCTTCCCCCGTCGCTGCCCGTGAGCCTGGGCAGAGATTCAGGCAGGGGCCAGAAGACTCAGGCAGGTTGTAGGGAAAGGGAGCCCTGTGCAGAGAACTGGTGGGAAGTGATCAGGGAGGAAGGCTAGCAGGTCCCTTTTGAGGCTGCCACGTTCTTTGTTGTCTCCTGTCTCCTCTTCTGCCCACCTGGGCATGTGCTTCCTCATTTCTCTGTGGGCCTGTGTCGGTGCCTGTGCATAGCTGCATGCCCTGCCCACGGCCCCTCCTGGCTTCAGCCCTTCCCCCTGCTTCTCTGTCTCGTCTCAGCTTCATTGTCTATTCTCTTCTACTTCCTGTCCTCCCCACAGGCTGCCTGCTGACACCACAGCCACTGTCGAGGACATGCTGCCTTCTGTCACCACCGTCACCGCTAACTCTGACACTATCACCGAAACCTTTGCCACTGCTCAGAACAGCCCCACCAGTGAGACCACCACCCTGACTTCCAGTATTGCCCCCCCAGCCAATGCCACACCTGACTCAAATTCTGTGCCCCCCGGCCAAACCACCCCTTCCAAGGGGCCCAGCGTTGCCACCTCCTCCCCACCCCCAGCTTCAGCCCCCAAGGTCGCCCCCCTTGTTGACCTGAGCGACACCCCAACCTCTGCCCCGGCCGCTAGCAATTTGTCTTCTAATGTCCTGGCTAACCAGGGAGCTGTGCTCAGCCCAAGTGCCCCTGCCACTGTCGGGGAGGCCTCCAAGGCCGCGCCAGCCAGCAAGCCTGCCCCGGCGCCAGGCCCCGCCACGGCTGAGGCAGCCAGTTCCCTAGCAGCAGCAGCTGCCCCTGCCACAGAAGCCCCCCAGGCCAAGCAGGAGGCTCCCAGCACCAAAGGCCCGGACCCTGAGCCCACCCAGCCCGGCGCTGTGAAGAGCCCGGCCGAGGCAGCCACGGCCCTCACTAGCCCGAAGAGCAAGGCTGCCTCCATCAGCGCCACAAACCCTGCCCAGGGCGAGGACTTTAAAATGGACGAAGGGAACTTCAAGACCCCAGATATTGACCTTGCAAAGGATGTTTTTGCAGCCCTGGGCTCTCCTGCTCCCGCCGCTGGGGCCAGTGGACAAGCCCCTGAGCTTGCTTCTTCCACTGCAGACAGCTCTGTTTCGCCTGCACCAGCAAAGACCGAGTACGGCCTCTCTCTGTCTGCTGTCACTGGGTTGTGTCCGTGGTGGTGTGTGTTTGTGCTGTGCTGCGTTCTCCTTGTTAGATGTGTCTTCAGCCTAATTCAGGTCTTCTCTGAGGCAACTGTCAACCTAGGGGCTGGGATAAGGCAGAGAGCACAGGGGAGGCAGGGGCCCAGAAGCAGCCTCTTGCACTAATTAGGTCATGTTAATTATGTTGTAGCTGTATTGTCCCAGCAGTGGCATCTGTTTTCCCTGAGAGAGACCTTGCAGTGGGGCCACTGATGAGCATAGCTTGGGAAGCGAGCTAAGGGGGCCAAGATGCCACCCAGGGATCCACAGACAATCGGTGTTACCAGTGCCAGCCTGAGTTCCCACCAGATGGGACTGTTACGCAGGAAGAAAAAGGGCAGCCCCCAAGGTTCATGGGGAGAGGGAGTCTGGTCCAGGTGCCCTGTCACCTTCCACATCCAGATGCCCCCACCCCACCTACTCTCGTTTACCTTGCCTGCCCTTGACTGATCTGAAAGGCTCAGGGCTCCCAAGCCCCAAATGACTGTTGGGATTTCAAGTTCAAGGGGAAATCCTTAGTAAGCTTATAGGTTTCCTAAATGTGATGCTGAAATGCGATAGCACTAGCTGGGGCTGGGGTCTGCGCCTGCCCCACTGTGTCCTCAGACCAGACTCACTCCTGGGACTGATTGAGACAGGGCCAGACCCATGGCTTACAGAGGCTCCTGTGCCTCCCCTCACCCCAGCGAAGCTGTCATGGTACTACCAAGAGCGGCAAAGGGACCCTCACCGGGATCTCTGAATCTCAGGAAGCAAAAGGATTCCTCTGAGAGCTGTAACACCCTCGCTGCCCCAGCCCCCCGTAGCATGATAGCCCACTGTAGCCTCCCGCCATTTTCTCAGGCTGCCAGGCAAGCCCTAGAGGCATCACCACAAAACACAGCTTGTTGGGGGTGGGAAGGGCTACTGGGGGAAGGTTTGTGGGGGAAGTAGGACAAGCAAGAGCTGGTTGTTTGGAGAGAGCCCGCTGGCATCAGTACTGGGAAACCCAGCGCACCTCATTTATACCAAACCAAGAACCTGCTGTTATTATAGAAGTCAGCAGGGTCAGGGTGAGGAGAAGACTCCCCACCCACCACTACCCCAGGTGATGCCAGAGTGGCTGGCATGGCATCAGGATGGGGACAGGAAAGCCCTCGTGCCTCTGACTCAATGGCTCTCAACTTTAGCTTCCTGTTAGAATTACATGAGTGCTTTTAAAAGTCACCCTGTCCGGGCCAATTAACTCAGGATTTCTGGGTGCACAGCCCAGGCACCAGTGACTTTTAAAGCTCCCCCATGTTCCCAACATGAAGCCAAGGTGGGGAGCCCAGCTCTGAATGGAGCCACTTCTCAGGGACTGTGGTCTCAGTGCTGTCTTCCAATTCTCTGCAGGAAAGGCCCGGTAGAAGCAAAGTCGGAATGCCCGGAGACAGAAACGAAGCCAGCGCCAGCCGAAGTCAAGGCGGTCCCCAATGATGCCACACAGACAAAGGAGAATGAGAGCAAAGCATGATGGGTGACGAGAAACCAGCAAAGATAAAAATACAAAGTGACACAACAGCTTCACCAGAGCATTTCCAATATCTCTCTCTCTCTCTCACACATGCGTGCGCGCGCGCACACACACACACACACACACACACACATCTCATTCCTCTAGTGTCTTTTGCCTTTAAAAAAAAAAATACCTAAACAGATAAACATGGGATCTCCTTTTTGTAGGTTTATAGAAAGGGTTCCTTTGTTGCACACTCAGTTGTAAGAAAATGAGACAAAAAGGTTAAACCCACAGCCAAACTAGGACACTCCGTTCCCTGAAACCATTTAAAAATCAAACAAAAGGACCCTAAATTAAGAATCTAGGAAGCTCAGAAGAAAAAAAAAATCTAGGTTCAGGAAGACCGAACTTGGTGTTGCCCATTTGGCACAGACCAGTGTAAGAGAAATACTTCCAGGCACTAAGACTAACCGAATGAACAAAGTCCAAGTTTATTTTTATACTTTCAGTCGAGTTTGAACTCTGTAAAACCTCATAAATAAGTTATCATTTCTGTTCACTTTGTATTTGTTCAGTATGCAAAGTGTGTCACCCTTTCTAGCTGAATTCAATTCCCACCTAGACTCTTGTTTTGTAGGAAGAATGCCAAATTGCAGCTTGTGGGGGTAGATCTCAATTTGCAGTATTCGGATTGCTTTTTTTTCCTTTTCTTTTTTCTCTCTTTTTCTTTTTCTTTTTTTTTTTTTTTTTTTGTTCCTTTCTGCCAACTTTGTTTTCCAGTGTTTACAAGCTGACCAATGTTTGACTTCGGTTGTATTTAAATGTCCATGTAAAATAGCTGCCTTTTTTTTTAAGTTACAAATACTGCCTTGAGGTGGGTAGGTTGATCACAGGCCCCTAGCGCAGGAAGACTTTACAAAGCATGGCTGTTTACAGTGGCTCTTTCCCCCATTCTGATTGGAAATGTTTGCCTGTGTGCAACTCAGGTGGAAATCCATCTAGTTTTGGAAGGGTTTTGCTTCTCGGTTTTTGGTTCTTTTTGTGTTTCCTTGGGGGTCGGACCACTTTCTTATTAGCCACCACCTGCCTGTATCTGTGAAACAGGATCTGCTCCCAGGGCGTCCTGTCCTTCCTTAGAAGGACTCCTTAGGCTTTGTTGAATGAAGCAGAGAAGATTGTATAGTTGGGGCTGGTCTTGGTGAACACACATTTTTACCCCAAACATCCCCTTTTTGTAGAAAGCCAAATAAAAGATATACATACCATTTCCTTTTGAGCCCAGAATCTAGATTTGAGCGGAAGAGCACGTGTGCTTCAGGGAATTAGTGTCTTTTTTTGGAAATCTGTTGAAGTAAAGTAACATCGGCCTTCTGTTCACTTAGGCAGCATTGGTAGAAACAAAAGAGAAAAAAAAAAAAAAAAACGACCTGCTGTCTGGAGTCACAACACGACTTTCCTGGATTGGAAATCAAGTGGGGAAAAAAAAAATACAGAAACTTTAAGGGGGATGGGAGGGGGGGAGAAGGGAAAAGCCAGCCCTTTGTATAGAAATTTTGCTTTTTTTTCCTCATTCTACTTTAGAACTGCAAGCTTGTGCACTGTGGATGCGTGAATATTTTAGTGTGAAACGTGTTTTTGTCATAGTATTGAAATAAAACTTCAACATAGTTTGGTTGTGGAAGGTATAGCAGATAGTTCAGAAAAAAAGAATATTCAGGAAACAAAAATAACTCGTAAAAGGAATCGAAGCCTTTAAACCATGAAAATGAAATTGAAACGATGATGGCACTGAAGATGCCGCTAAGTAAAAGAAATCAGTACTCTGGGCATGCGTTCCTTTCCTAAGCAAGAGGTTAGAGTGGCAAGACCTCCCCCAAGCCCATTCTGCGGGCTGCGCTCCCCGATCTTCTGACACTTCTGCAATCTGATCAGTGGCGATACGCTAGATTATCATTTCAAACTGTGAAAAATGGTCTTGTCATTTGCTAAATGTGGGGTTATTTTGCATTTTCTCAGCTCCTGGGGATGGAAATGGAGGATCCCAGTTTACCCAGCTCCAGCCCCTTTGAATCTAGGGCTCTCACACATCTGTGCTTCAAATGCACAGGCCCCAAGAACCAGCAACGGGAAGACAGTCTGGCAGCACACAGCAGGATGGGTGCCTCGAGGTGTCTGAGACAGGGTGGACCCTGGGGAAAGCAGTGGGCTCCGCCTGCCACCAAGTCACCAGTGGAATTGATTCCCAGTCTTGGGATGTTACTGGCTGTGAAGACCAGGGTCACGGCCGAGCCATGCCTCATGGAGACGGTGCCCTTCGCGCCATGTGGTTGTGGTTAGGCAACCTGATTTTGGTTTCCTTAGGAAGAGGAAGAGGTCTAGACCCTCCGATAGCCTGGCCCAGGGCAGCTGACCTCCCCCACCAGACCCCTGGCTCCGCCGTTGTTAGCTGGAACCCAAGACTATCCACCTTTTGGTCTGCCTCTCTCCCATGACACAGAGCTTCGTCTCCATGTATGTGAGCTTTCCTTTCTTTCAAAAACCAGAACAACAGAGCAACGCTTCCTTGCAGATCAAAGAGGGAGTCACTTTATTTTCAAAACGTTCTATCTTTTATGTTAAGAGATAAAAGCTTATAGTTTTCCTTTTTTTAATTTTTGGAAGGAGGGATCAATTCCACCAGTTTCCAGCGTCTATGTGTCTATGCGTGTATGTGTATCCACATACATCCCGCACGGCCGCGCTCTGGAGGGCAGGCGAGTGCCGTGCACGGGGACTCCAGATCCCCAAGGGCCGTGGTGTACATAGTGCAGCTTTTGCAGTGGAACTCTATTTTCACACTTTTCTATGGAGCCTTCCAAGTCCCGGGTTTTCACTCTAGGCTGTCTGTCTGGATGGTGGTTGTCAGACCTCCATTAGCATCCCTCCCCAGCATTCCCTACTTCGGGGGCCTTCTCTCTTGTTATAAACTTTTTACCAAGTGAAACATCAGTACCACCTTTGTTTCCATTCTCACTGGTGTAAATACTGAGTACTAACTGAGAATTTTGACTTTGCATTCTGTCAGAATACTTGTGTTCAATAAAAATTGAAGAAGAAAAAAGCTGTTATGGTCAAACTGGGATTTATTTCCGTTCAATGAGAGTCTGTCACGTGAATCAGATGTACACCTGGCGGTGGCATTTCTTTGACTTTATAAACAGGGTCAGTAAACTCAGTATGTTGAGGTCATGGTTGCCTGAATGATGATTTCTAGTTGTTGTTGTTTTGTTTTGTTTTTCCCCCCCTCAGGTTGATAGAGGAAGGTGGAAAGGCCAGACATCAGATTTGAAAACATTTCATTCAAATCCTGGGTCTGCCACTTCCATGTCCATCTTGGAAGAGCCGCTTAATCTCCCCAAGACTCAATTTCCTCTTTAGATAAACAGGAAACTCCAAGCTGACAGAGTTGTGAGGTACCAGTTAATGAATGGACCAGTGTACAGGAAACCTAGGTTTGCACTTTCTTGGACATAACAGGTGCTTAACAAGTGGGCATTAGTGGTGTCAAACCACCACGTGTGTGACAGCATCAGCCAATTGGGATAATAGCACCTGAGCGCCAGTGCTGAGGTGGACATCCGAGGCTTCCTCGAGCATGGGCTGCCTTATATTTTGCCAAACTCCTCAGCTGTAGTTCAGAACCTGGAGTTTATTAAAGTCTCCGAGCAAATCAAAAGTAAAGAAAACTTTGCCTCTGCTCAGAATTCTTTTGAATGTGCTGCTGTTGCTATGTTGGGAGGAGACAACTGATAGAGCTGGAGTGACCTATTAAGCTGTGGCATCAGGAGTTCCTGGAGGAGACCTGGCAACAGGCCCAGAACTAGGTTGAAGCAAGTGAGGCTCCTCGGGAACAAAACATAAAAGTCCCCCTCTCAGGGCCACCCTTGCTCCGCCTGAATCTGAGGTGCCTACTCTTTGCCTCTTGCACACTCTCGCCAGCCCCTGCCTGGGTGGGTGAAGCCTTCCGCTGGGGTGGGACCCACATCCATTCCCTCCACTTGTCCCTGCACCGGCCCTTGTGCCTGTTCAAAGGACAGCACCACACGTGCCCACCCGGTTTCCTACCTGGTGCCGCAGTTTTGCATAGCAGAGTGGGAGGGCACTAGACAAAAACACGATGCTTATCAAAATTGGGAGGAACCATGAAAGGACCCTCTCCTTGGCCCATGGGGGCCTGCTCCTGGAGCACCCTCCTCGGGCAAGCCTGGCACATTTGTTCAGTGTTTACCGAGTGTCACCAAGTTGCCTTGGATACAGCAGTGAACTAAACACTGTCACACTCAAGCAAGGGGCCGGGGAGGACAGTAACATCCAAGAGCCCAAAGTCCTGTGGTCATTAGGGCTGTGCACCGATGTCTTGGCTCCTTTCCTCTGGGCAGGCCCACGAGAGGACTGCACTTTCTGACCACTTCAGGTGGGCCTGGCCATGCCACTCGCTCAGTCAGCCGACCGGGAGCAGAATAGCACTACTAGACAGAGCCTTCAAGAGCCAGTGTGTCACCCGGGCCCTCTTCTCCCGCACTCAGCTGTGCTGCAGGGGTGGCAGCGCCCTGGCCTGCGCCCAGAGGGAGGGATGTGAGCATACGACCTCGATGGACTTCCACTCCAGTGATTCCCTGATGTCTGTGAACGCAGCCAGTAAAATAGCTTCAACGTATACTCCAAGGTGCTCACTTCATTTAATCTCTGATTTAATGTTTCTTCTTCCCATTGAACCCTAAACTCTTCCAAGGCAGATTCTCAGTCTGACTTAGTCACTGTTGATCCAGCCACCTCCTACAGCAACCATCAACACAGGAACTAGGCGTCTGCCGTGATGAATGGCCGAGTGGATGTATGCATGAGTGATGCGGTAACACCCATGCAACCAGCCGTGGTTACCTGCCCGTGTTCACCTGTGCATGCAAGTGCAAACAGGGTCTGCACCTGGCCAGGGAAGATGCCTTTGCACTTGAGCCACACTGCAGTGTCCACTGCCCAGTAACCTGGAGGCAGTCCACAGGGGACGGGAGGGGACTGGTCACAGCACACACAGACAGGGTCTGCCTGCCCCAGCCCCTGATCGTGAGTCCCCCTGGCTCCTCCTTCCCCCAGTCTGGTAACTTTGTCCAGAGGGTGAGTAGCAACCGTGATGGAGGCAGGCTGGGAAGACGTGGGTTAGGGGCTCCTGTGTCTAACTGTGCCTGTTACTCAAAGCCATGTTATATGACGGACAAGGCCAGGGGGGCAAATCTAAGGGGTCCTTCCTTGGACTCTTTCCTAAGGGGCAAACTTGTGGGTTGGAAGGCCGGTGAGAAAAATAGGAGGCTGGAGAGCAGGACGGTGTGATCTTGACAGGTCTGCTCGTCACCAGGTCTCAGTGCTGGTGGTCTGGCCTTCAAGGGGACAGTTCTGTGCCCTATCTTCTTCCTGAGCAGGGATGCTAAGGTACTTGGCTGTGAACCCCAGGGGGGAACAAGAAGCATGCAGGGATCTGCCTGTTCAGAGTGCTTCCACCTTGACAGCCATCAACAGCCACCAGAACGTGGTAGTGAGCTTGAGGAGCTGGGCTGTTCTCAGCAGGAATCCAGGCTGCAAGTGCTGCCATACTGTGTCCTGTTACAGGAGTAGGAGGCACAGAGGCTCTCTGGCCATACCACCTTGCACAGCCCAGGCCAAGACGTCCATGGCAGCCTGGTCGTCAGCTGCACTTAGGCTCCAGAGTGCTCCCTATGCGGGCTGCAGTCCCCTGAGACACTTATGGAAACTGCACATCCCTGGATTCCAGCCACAGATCTCACAAAACTGAGACAGCAGTTTTGGGGGTGCCAGGGTTCCCTTAATGGCTTTGAGACCACACGTGCAGAAACAGGGGGAGGGACTGAGGAGCATCTTGCTTTCCTGCAGGGCGCCTGATTCAAAGGTGCAGCCAAGAGCTGGGGAGACACAGGCAGGAGGCTCCGAGGCACCACAGAGACAGACAGGAAGTGCTGTAGACGCAGCTGAGTGTCTGGATGTCAGCAAGACACTGCCCAAGGCTTAGCACGCTTCGCCACTCATGCCGGAGGCAGAGTCAGCATCCCAAATGAGCCCAGCCTTTGAGGCCACGAGCAGCTGAGATGATGTCATGTCAGAGGGACAGATGTAAAGTCCTGTCTGCTCTCTGCAAGGCCAACCACCACAGCACGTGCAAGCGGCGCTGGGGCTGTGCAGCGAGCATATTTAAAAAGAAAGACAGAAAAGAAAAGACTATGGGTCTTAAGCTGGCCATAAAATTCAGCGTGTGAGGTGATGCAGACATTCAAAAAGATTTGTGATGTGTGGACATTGATCTTTTCACTTAATTTTACTTAACACTAGGATAGGCACGGTGCTAAGCATTTATAAATATTTACTCTCATAGTCCCTGAAATAATTCTATGAGGTAGATACTATTATTGACCCCATTTAACAGGTGAAGAAACTGAGGCAGAGAGGTTTGGTGTCTTGCCCAAAGTCACACAGGCACAGCTAGGATTTGTACCCTGGCAAAGGCATCCTTGGCGAGGAACATGTGAGCTGACAGGCTGCCCTACCCCGGCTTTCAGGTGTTGCCTCACACCCAAGGAAATGCACTGGCCAGCAGGGCACATGCAGGGCAGAAGCACTGGGTAAAAGGAACTCAAAGCCCTCCTCTCTGAGGAGCATCGGAACCAGGTACTATGTTCATATGGGGAAGATGCCCCAAAAGCAGAGTGCAAGGACTGTTTACAATAGCTAAGCTTTGGAAACAACCCAAATGCCCAAAAATAGATGACTGGATCAAGAAGATGTGGTACATATACACCATGGAATATTACTCAGCATTCAAAAAAGATAAACACATGCAACTTGCAGCAACATGGATGCAGCTGGAAGGGATCATGCTCAGCAAAATAAGCCAGAAAGAAAAAGAAAAATACCGGATGGTCTCACTCATAGCAGGAATCTAGAAAACTTAAATAAGGGACCAGGAAAAAGTATAACTATAAGAAAGAAAATATCAAAATCAACAAACAACTATGAACCAGAGACACTCTATGGGGGGTGGGGGGGCGGGGAAAGGAGGGATTGGGGTCAAAATAAGGGGGTTGCAATTGTATGGGGAATATAAAAATAAAATTTATAATAAAAAAAAAGCAGAGTGCAAGGGAGTGCAGAAAACAGGAGACTTCAGACAGCTGCCTTCACCCGCTGGAAGGGTTATCAAGTAGAAAAGGGAGAAGACTTAATTTGTACCACTCCCGAAGGCTCAAGTCAAAGCAAGTTTACAGGGAAGCTGACTTAACACACAACAAAGACCACTGTCTCACGTGACCAGTCGAGTCTCAAAGCAGAGGCTGGGCAGCCACTCCTTGGGCACAGGAGAGAGGGCTGATGTATCAGCTGCACAGATGATTCTGTTTAGACTCCAGATTCATTCAGTAGCAATGACTGAGCTCCCATTACAGTCTGGAGCACTGAATTCAGAGAAAGTAAATTGTCAACATGAC